ATAAGGTATTTTGTGAACCAATGCGTCTTTGGACGCAATCGGGATACTTATATTTGGGATAAAATACAACTACCTGTATTCGGGCCGCAATCGGGCAACTCTGAGCACGATTCCGTACGATTTTGATCAAATAATAGATTGTCAAAATGACCCCAAAAACAACACGATTCCGTACGATTTTATGTGCAATGTTGCTATTTATTATATTTATTTTCAATTTGTTATTTTAAAAAGTTTATTAGTTATTTATTTTAAGTTTATTTTTTTTATTTGACAAATTTTCAAATATGTAAAAATATATTAAGTATAAGTTGTATAAAAAAATATGTAAAATAATTATAATTTGATACCTTGATACTTGTTACAAATATTTGATTATATTTTTGTGAGTTAAATATTCTTTAAATTCGTCAATTGTGTGGTATAAACGTTGTTTGTCGGCTAAGGCCATTTGATTAAAACGTTCTTTAGATGCTAATTTTATTTTTGTGCAAATCTCTTCTTGTGTTTCCTTCAGAACTGATATAACCAAATGAATAAAAGGGTGTGGACTATGAAACTGTGCATTATATGTCCTATGGAAACTCTCCGATAAATTTGTTGTATTAAAGAAAAAAAAATATGAAAACAAAACGTTATAGATATTAATATATTATATTAATAGTTTTACACCTTATATATAGTTATTATAGTATTACCGAGGTTTTTCTGACGGCTCTTGAGCCCAAATTCCTGGTGAAAATAAACAATCATTTTCTACATAAGTATGCAATATGTAATCAGAAAATAAACATCCTATATTTATATTTGGACATATAGGATACAAATTCAACGAATGCATTTTCGATGTCATGTGGTGGTACGAATGGCAACCCGAAAAATAGTTTTAATCATTTTCCTAACTCGTCGTCGTTCGTATATGATGTTCGGAGTTTCTGCTCAGAATTTATCTGCAAAGTTAATACAATACGTTAAATTTTATAATTTTATTATGTATATATTTATAATATATCTTTAATCTTAAGCGTAATTACTTTTCGCCGCCACCAACCCTGCCCTAAATGAAATCGACATGCTTGAATTTCCACATTTGGGAATACCTTTCTACATGCTTCATGAGCGCTTATCTCAAAGTCAAATATATACGTAATTTTATGGAAACCTGGCAACATTGCTCTAAAATCTTGGGTACAAAACGTACGGAATCGTGTGCCTTAAAATGTGCACGATTCCGTACGCGCTGATAAGGACCGTACGGAATCTTGTTCTACTAAAAGATTTGAAATTCAAATTGTTTAGTTATTAAATTTAAATTAATTAAAAGTAAACAACTAAAACTATATTATGATTTATGGGAAAAAAACATATAAGTTTGTTACAATGTCTGTAATAGCCACATGCGTGGTTGTCTGAAATAATTTAAATTATTACCTATGATAAACATCGTATAGTATAAAAAATCATCCATACTTTGTTAAATACGATTAATTGCTATTCGTATTTTAGTAAGTCACTAAGTAATAGATACCAAATGTTAATATAATCTTAATAAATACTATTTTTAGTCCAGACAAATTATTTTTATTTGTTTACTTTTTTAAATCTAAGTATAAAATATTTAGATTATCACACTATCAGTTCAAATAATTTGCAAATAACAAATACGACGTACCTTTCTATAATAATTATTATCAAATAGGATCTAAAGTTAAAAAAAAACATATTTTCACATAGCAGTAAATTAGTAAAAATGTTAATATGTATTAAATTTAAGATCTTAGTTATGTTTCTCATAATAAAACGATGATACGAAAATATCTCATAAGTCCATAATAACCGAAATTGATACATTTATTTACAGGAAAAATTCAGAAAAAAATTAACCTTTCTCATATAAACATTTTTTGTGTTTGTCTTAATTCAAGATAATATAAAATGTTAATATACTATCACATACATCAATTATCAACTATCAATGCATATTTAAACACATTTATACATATTCTGAAAAATTTGCTATTTTGATTAACGAGGTATTTTTATATTATATCTAATATATATATATACCTATTTAGGAACATGCTTAAATTTACATAGAATTAATAAGTAAACATTTGAGCATATTCCTATATAAATATAAAACCAATATTCCAATATAAACACAATTATAAATAATTAAATTTAGCACTACCTACTTATATGCCTAAGTTTCATTTATTTATTATGAAAAGTAACTATGTGGAAGCATTTTAAACTGAATAATCAGGTATACTGTTATATAATTTAGGAATTAAAATATAATCATAAAAAATGTGTTTAAAATTTATTGGATGATTATAATATAAAGTATTATAAATTAAAATAATTGGTATAATGGTGTTATTAAACCTAAACCATGATTTACCACCACCATTTTAATAATTAAATCAAAACGTTTCTAGTTTAAATTGATTTTAAAAATAAGTCCATTAATATTATAGTATTTCCGAATGATTATTTTAAGAAGTCTATTATAAAAGTACAAGGATCTAATTTATGAGCATACATATTATTTCATCAGTCATAGGATGGATCTCCATGATTTTTTTTTTTCTTAACCAATAATTAAATGAGTTATAATAAATAGAGTGAGAATATATTTTAATAACTTACAACACATAATGTTTAATATTAGTTAAGCAACGTACCTTTTGAAACTTGTTTTTAATCCATTAAATTGCCTAATATTAATCATTATAACATACTCGTATCATTTTATCACTTAATATAATGTTGCTTTAATTTTAAGACAATAATAAGTATAATTATTGTTTCTCAATTTTTTTTTTTTTTTTTTAATCTATATCCTTTTTGGAAGAGGTTTATTGTGTCAAATTTTATGACATTTTACATTCATATTTTTAAATTCTTTTAACAATAAAATATATTTAATTCTTAAAATTCACAATTTTATGATAAAATTTAATAAAAATTGTTGATTATAAAAATACATTGATGTAAAAAAATAATACCATTAATAAAAATCAAAACAGGGAAAATCATTACAAATAAAAAAATTTTGTTTATAGTTTTAAAATTAAAACTTTATCCACAGAAATAATATATCATCTAATATTTAAAATATTTTTTTCAAAGAAAAATGAAATAATAAATACTCTATTAATTAATGTTGTATTATCTAATTAAACCCAATAATCAGTCAGTATTCTATAGTGTAATTTACTGTAACTTCAGTGATTGAGTTCAATATTAATAATAGCATGCTCATATATTTTATCTTTCTCATTCATTATATATCATTACCATCTATAGGTTGTTTTAATTCTGTATAAAACACAAATCGTAATGTATTATTTTTATCTGGCATAATATTCATAAGTATCTCCAGAAAAGGAGAATGAAAAATTTTAAAGTACCATACTATCAATTTGAAAGATAATTTTTCATACTTATTTCATATTTTGATTTTCTTTAAGTTCCTTTAACACTATTTTCATACCTATCAGTTACATATTATTCGTTTTTTATAAATATAAAAAAAAAAATTTTTAATAATTTTTAAATGTTAAATTAAAGAGTAGCATTAATTACGCATTTATTAGAATAAAAAAAACATTTTTATCAACAATAAAAATAACAAAATTAAATTATTTTTATTTTTACAAATTATTAAAACAAGATTTATTTTTTTGATAACATGTTACATTAAAAATTATACCTACATTTTATTTTTGGTATTTACATAACAACTGAAAGTAAATTTTATCACGAAAAAAATTATAACAATTTTTAATATTTTATTTATTGCAACAATATCAGTTGAACTATCGACCAAGTCCATTTATTATGAAATTAAAACAATCAATATTCTAAACTAAACAATCATATGATCACAAGTCTAGTCATAACACTTAGGTTTATGGTATATGTAAATAACTAGAAACTCTAAAACAAATAATAATTATAATTAATATACATCATAACTTCTAAGTGATGAATAATTGTAATTTAATGTGTTTCAAGTCACAAAAATACTAATAATATTATGCTCTTGTTATTATGGTTCTGTTATCCCCAGTGAATTTTCATTTATACACTATTTATAATAAAGAACAACAAAATTCAATTCCTATACGTAAATGTGTCCATTAAGTAAACAACTTAGTATCTTAAGATTTATGATACTATATATAATTAATTATATATACCTAAGATAACTGTATGTATGAATTTTGTTATTATTATAATATTTAAACCACACTTTTTGTTAGACATTTTTATATTTAGGTAGTTACAATGGTATCACATAATTGCTTAATATGAAGTATATATTTTAAATAATAATAAAATATATTTTAGGTACTAAATTATTTATTTTATAAAATTTTTAAAACCATATGCATACAAAAATCAAGAATGTCAACCTTAAAAAGTCAATAAATGTTTGAAAAATAAATCTAAAAAATTATTGTTCAAATAAGAAGTAAACACCTATTTAATAAATAACTCATTTTTAATTTTAAATTAATGCTTATTCAAATACACTATACAAAATTATTATTTTGTAGTTTTAAAAACGAATTATCCAGTTTATTATTTATTTTGTAATTTTTAATTTCCAGACATAAATAATAATATAAAGGTATTGATATAAAATTAATTGAACCGATTATATTGTCCATGAGCACATCACTTTCTAGATAAAACGCTATGTCGAATTAAACATAACTATATTGGTTTTTTATTTTTTTAACTTAATAATATAGGAATAATCAATCTACGACTCAATTAGTTATTACATTATTTATTTATCTTATAAAATTATAACTTTTAATTTAATTCTGTTAAAAAAAGATTTGACGCTGTTCATCGAGAAAAGGTTTCAGTCTACGCGAGCGAGGATCGCCTACACACACACACGAACAGGGTGTGCGCAAACAAGGGTGGAAGGTATAAAAGACCTGCGTTTACGATGTTACGGGTCACTTTCAGAGCATAAGCTCATTTAGACGATTGACTATCAGTGTTTGTGCTTGTGTATAATATAACCATGTCTTTGAGACCACAAATCGCAACAACGTGCTACTTTTGTATGGTTTTACTAGCGATTGTAGTCATATTTACAGTAGACAATGGAGCAGCTAAACGTAAGTGATTATTTATAATTAATTATATGATTATTTATTAACTTGTTTTAAAAATTTATATTATTTTATTACGAAATTGTCATATATAAAATTATTATACATTATGAGTATTATTATTATTATATAAATAGGACATTTAAATAGTAATTAAAAACATTAAGTTTCTTTAATCATCGTAGACATTTTTATTTTATCGATATTTATCAATCATAATATTAATTTTAATGTTTAATTTATTTATTTTTAATAGAATCTTAAACATTGATATAGTGCATTCTTATCTAATGTTTTTCTATATTTGAATAAATCATAAGTACAAATTCATAAATATGAAAAAATATCTCATATAATTTTCAATAGATAATTATTTATTTTTACCATCAATCAACGCATTTGAAAACTAAACGATATATTGTCAATCACTTACTACATCCAACTTTTTTTCTGTCGAAAAATAAATAATAATAACAATGAAAATATTTTTTTGATTTCACATAATATGACGACTCGAAATCATTAATTACAATTTTTAAAACATGTTTCCATATAATGCATTATATTTAGGCATACACATTCGTAATCTATAATTAGTAATATTAAAACATTGAAATAAACTAAGAACTTTCTTTAAAGATAAAACATAATATTTATGAAATAAATGTAATTTAACACAAAATAACCATTACGTGACATATGGATACTACAATTAAAATAATTTTAATGATATGTAAAATATCAACAATATATTCAACAAATAGAATTTATTCATTTATAACTATCAAAATTTATTATCATACATTTACAAATATTACGAATTTTATTTTAAAGTAAATTCTATATCATCATAGTAATATGTAATGAACTATACACCTTTATTAAAATAATAAGTATATATTAACTGTTCATTTATATTTGTTTTCAAAAATTATATTTTTAAATATCTAAAATATATTAAATAGATTATATACGCAAGTAGTTAGTGTTCAAGATATGAATAATTACTTACTCATTAATATCTTTTATATTTTTTCAAATTGTTTTATAATTAGTATTAATAAAAATTAAACATTATTTCAATAGATTCATAGTTATGCACTCATTTATTCTAGAATTAACAATGAAATGTATCAGTGGCGAAGCGTCATAGGAGACAATGAGACAACGTCTCCCCACTTAAAAATTAAAACACGGGACAAATAATTATATTTTATAATATAATATTTATAAATTTTAACGTCTTTTTATTATAAATATAATGTATGTACTATGTTTTAATATTTATTAAAATCAGTTTTCCTTTGTACAGTTAAGTTATGATTGTCATTAGTCTTACAGAATTCTTAAAATAGATTAGATGCGCTCGATACGACCGTCTGTACGAATTGGCGATGCGGGTCATTCTAAATATCAATATGGTATTAAATCAAAGAGACGTTCCAATGCAACGTCTCATAATCATTGACGCGCGGGTACAAGGGAAATTTGAATGTGAGTGGGATTTACCATGTATGTGATGAGACGCGTCTCATTCGTCTCGCCGTTCGTATTTCATCGATTATTGTCGTTCTGTCGCGTTGTCACGCCATCGTCAATAAAATTGCGATAGCCGATAGTTATACATAGGTACGTGTTTATTAATATTTTTTAATTTTAAATTATAAATTATGGCTGATGATTTAATTAATGCTATTATGAACGATGGAATTAGTAATTATTCATACGAAAAAAAAATTTGAACTAAAAAAATAAAAAACCTTGTCCTTTATTAAATTTAACGACAACTGACGGAAAATCCATTCGAAAATTTCAATTTGTGTGGTATTCAAAATAGAAGTGGCTTACTGGTAGTCAAGTTAGAAATAAATTATATTGTTATTATTGTCTATTATTAAGAGTAGAGAAAACCTGGAGCCAAGAAGGTGTATCAACAATTAAAAATTTTGAACGAAAAGCAAACAAGCATGCTATTTCTGAAAGGCATCTTGTTTGTCAAGAACAATTCAAGTTACTCGGGGAAAATATGATTTTTTTTTCAATGTCTCCCCAACTAAAAACTCCAGCCTCGCTACTGAAATGTATATATTATTATACGTATGCATCATTATAATTTATAAATGGTGAATAACATAAACCAAATAGTATTGTATAACATTTATGTACTAATATTGCCTGTATATGTCGCCGTGCAGTAATAATTATAACCAAATGTTTATGCTTATTAAAAATAAAATAAAATTAAAGATAACAGTCATTTGTTTCAATGAAATTAATCATTAACCTTGATTAATATTAAAAAAATGTTGAAGTGATAATAATGTATTATATATATTTAATTTGATACTTAAAATGTGTATGCACATATCTAATGCTAAAGTAATATCATGGGTACCTAATAATTATTATACCCATAGTCTGTTTGTGTGTCAAAATCGTTATGACAAAAATTAATATAATTAAATATTCGACACTGTAGTTTTTTTTTTTCAAATTTTATTTTATCTATGGTTTATAGTTTATAGAGTGTACGTTTAAAGTCTATGGTTACGTTATTCACTTTTTTATTTTATACTAACTACTATTCATATTAAAAACGATAAATTTATATAAGTTCATAACCATCCACAATTTATTTGTAAAATAATTTTAAACAATTTAAAACAATGCAACCCAGTATTACTAATTTATAATAAACTGGGAAAAAAAACTAGTTTCAAAAATTAAACATATTTTAAAATTATAATTAATTATATATATTTTATTATATTCATTGAAAATTATATTAGTACAAACCATCACTTATTTATTTATTTTGAGTGTAATAATTAATAATTTACTGATACAAACTAATAATAAATAATCTTTCAGCACAAAAATAAAAATTAGGAATAACTTAGTAGCATAAAATAAACGAAAAATTCTGAAATCTCACTAAGTTCCGTTTACTTTGTTTACCAAGAAAAAACGATTAAAAACATCAGGAAATAATATTCATAAATAAATAACAGTGTAAATAGTATAATACATAAACATTTTAATAAAAGTGGCATAAGGAATTTAGAACATATTTTTAAGTAAAACTTTTATTTCACTATTTAAGTATGATATAATAGATGATATACTTTATACCTATTTACCTACTACGAAATAGAAAATGTCATTATTTTTAATATCATACATCTATTTATTTTCATAACAAATAATAAAACGTATATTTACACTCTTAACTTCTAAGCAGTAAGCATTTAATAACATTATGTCTTTGTAGATAACTTATTTATTAAATACTACTACTTTGTAATCAAAAAGAACAATAAATTATTTATTAAGAAAATTGATTAGAATTTATAATTTATTCCCGAAATCAATAATACACAAGGATTTGACAGTTTCACATTAAAATAACTTTGAGTAATAACATAAAAACCTTATGATACTTTTTAAAATTGGACCTCCTAATACTATTAGTTACATACTCGTATATCGCGTATTATTTCCGTTCAGAGATTATGTTATTTAATTTTTAATTTGAACATTTAATTTGAAACAAATAAAATAAAATACGTAAATTATCTGTTTCTTGTACTTTCTGAAGATACTAAAATCATATTTAGAAAGAATAATATAATTTAGGTACTAACAGCTTACTGTTTAGATTTTATAAGAAATCAAAACTTTATTAGTTATATCTCAATTTTTTGAATCAACGACAAATTGTACATTCGTGATAGACATAGACATATATAATAAATAATTTCAACTTTTCAATAAAATTACTTGAATTTCTATCTTTTCAATTTTTCTAAACTACCAATGTCACGTTATCATAATAATAATATCACTATATATATATATATATCATAAAATATTATGTCAATAATTTATTAATTATGTATTCTTTGAAAATGTATAAAAACAACTTATAGAAATCTTAAAGTATTTCAAATTGTGTATTTATGTTGTATAGAAATAAATAAAAAAAAATATCTACGTTTGAAAACTGATGAATATTAAAAATAATAATACAATAATAAGAAAAAAAAATCAAAGAAAATTAAAATCAATAATAACTGGATTCATTATTTTCTTTGACATGTAGTATCATTGTCATTTTGCTTTTTACAAAAGCTCTACAATTTCTTTTACTTTTTCTATTTTAAAATATTTTTAAATGCACAGTGAATAAATTTAATAAAATACGTATCATAAACTATCTATAAGTATTTTTTTAATATTAATTTCATTTAAATAGTTCAAAAAATAATTTATTTAATAAAGATTTTATAAGTGGACATTACATATTAAATATTATCATTATTTTTTAAGTATATATCTATAAAAATTGGGTAGAACTTAGAAAATATTAAACAAAACCAAAATGTATTTTAAATATAATTAACCTGCAATTCTATAGATCTATAATATAATTTGAATTATTTGGAAATCAACAATACAATAAATATTAGTTAATTAATATCTATGATACATTATTGCACTAACAACAAATCTAGTTATTCACCATTATTGACTCAACTAATTAAAAATATTTTAATAATAATTTATCATATTTTATTTTATATTTAATAGGTAATCATATTATACTATATACTATACTATTTCAAACTATATATATAATTGGTTTAACTGATATTCGAATTTTTTTACCAAAATAAATACTATAATATAATCACTCTTATTTCATTGCATTATCATATGCCTGAAATGTTTAAATTACTCTTTACTTAAATATATTTTTTAATGCATGCAAATTGTACATACATCTAATATTTTTACTACATTAATTTTAAGAATATATTGTATACCTAACTGTACAAAAAAAAGTATACATATTGAATAACGATTTTTTTATTTACTTGTATAAAACTATGGATATACAACTACATATTGCATAAAAAAAATGTAAAAACACTTTAAACACTTTTTTCTACAATAATAGAAAACTAATAAATTTAATGATAAACACATCAATGACAAAATTCGAT